AAAGGAAGTACATAACGTGAAAGCTCTTGTATAAAGGAGAGGTCAAATTCGAGACACAAAGAAACACGTAATTCGTTTCCGGGAAAGAAAAAATAACCCGTGGACAGTGTCGTGGTCACGGGCCCAAAGTATCTTAGCAGATTCCTTTTTCGCAGCAACACCACACAAAAACTAAAAAGAAAAGGAAAAAGAAAAAAATAAAATAAATGGATAATGACGTCAATATATTAATTTCCGAACAATTGGGGCAAAAAGTTATTTGGTAACAAGAGATTGGGCGTGGTTGAAATGGATTCCAATAAATGTGAATATGCTTTCTGCATCCTTCTCCATTCCCAAAAGGTTGCATCACACGTTGTCCCTTTGATTATTACGTTTCGTGCTACTTTTTTTTTTTTTTTGATTGAGAATGAAAATATAATTTATTTTCTTTTTTCTATTTTAAAAAAACATTGGAGGAAGATTGAATTTGGAATAAGAAAATGAACTATCAATAAGTTGATCAAGAGCAATCAAAAGCATTTTTGGTATATGCATAGTATTGAAAAGTTAAAGTTCCTTCCATTTATATACCAGTGTTTATGGTTTGAATTCTTTTGACGAGTAACATTCGAATTTTTTTGAGTGCATATTGATCTGAAAATCAGTTGCAATTATTCTGGCCAATTAAGTAAGTCCGGCCCAATAAAGTCTATAAAAGGAAGCCTAGTTTAGCAATATGACATCGCACACAAGCTACCAAATGGAGAGAGGCCACCGAGAAACTATGGTGGGAAGAGAAGCGGCGAGTGACCTCAAACGACGAGAGGTCAGTCGCATGCGACGGTGCGAAACAACCCTAATGGACGTTTTATCAACTATCATGTTCAAAGAATTTATGTTGCGTCTGAACATGCAATTGTTTCACTACTCACTCGAGGTGACATAGTAAATATAATTGAAAATGTAATTTGGAGCCGGGGGATAATTTGATTGGACACGTTAAATTGACTTGAAAATGGAGTTTGAAGTCCAATCCTCCCCTACTGGACCTCTTATCCATGCAAGGTAAGAAAACTTATTATTATTATTACTTTAATTAACACCTTTAAAACTATTAACTATCACAGGAAAATACTGAATTAGCCGTCGGTGTGCTAACATCGTCCTAAGTCCAAATGGTCCTTGTCTTATATTGCAGATCCTACTCGAACAAACATCAACCCAAGAACATATATGTTACATATATTATAATAATTATTTATAAAGCCATATTATTGTAGTGAAAAGAAAAAAAAGTTTTTGCCCCACAATCTAGTATGTGATGAGAAAGTAGACACCACTTCAATTCCCCAACCAATTCATTAATTGTAACCATCACGTTTAACTAATAAGCAAATATGTTTAATTCCTTTATTAAGAAATTTGGACCAATTTTAATATTCCAAGTTCATCTAAAAAGCTTAGTGGCAGCTTAGTCATCAGCCTAAGCAAAAATCCGACCAATCATCGTCCTTATCGCATCCTAGTCATCATCTCATTATAGTGTGTTCGTAATACACTAAAATCTATCTTAACAAGCTAATACTAATTATTATGGAGTTATTACTAATTACTATGTGGGTTTTTCATTTTTGCAAATATAACTGAACTTTATATGAAAATTTAGATATTTATAATATTTTATCACAAAATAGTTATTGCATTTTTTTTAAAATATTTTATTATTTAACTATATGGTACTTCAATTTAAATTATTAAAAAGAAAAATATACTATAGGTGGGATTGGCGGGAGAGAATTGATAGACAGAGTTAGTTGATGTTCGTGCATGGAACAAGGACCACTAGTTGTTCTAGGGATTCTCCCACCTTAATATTTCTACTAATGCTTCAATTTCCGAGACCACATAAATCGCAAACAAGAACTATAAAAGGAAAAAAATAAAATACTGATTTAATTTTTATTTATTTTTAATTAATTCTTTCTCAATTAATTAAATATTTAAATGTAATCAGGCAAAATAATATTGGATAGAGTTTAGTAATCACTAATAAGGAAGAAAAATAATGTTTGGTAGAATTTATTAATAAAAAGCAAATATAGAAAAAAAATAATCAATACGAAATCGATGTAAAGTGAGATAATAAAAGTGTAATTTGATGATGAAAATTAATTTACGAAAAAATGATTTCAAAAATATAAAATCGATTTTATTAATTTAAAACGGATTTAAGTGGGGGCATTTCGGACAATGACACCAACAAATACAGTCAGAGACAGGTGAGTTATGCGATGGACGCAGACTTTGATAAGTTGAGCGATTTTTCAGTTTCCCGTAATGGTAGGAAGGCTGTTGCCAGCCGGAATCCAAATCTATATTAAATTGATTAAATCAAATACAAAGAATCCAATTAAGACTGATTTGAATTCCACGCTGCCTATAAATATCCACGAGTGAAAAACATTTCATTCCACCACCACCCTAGCTTTCTAAATTAGAGAGAAGTGATTTCTCAGAAACCAATTAGAAACACCAAATAGCGGCGGCGGAGAGAGAGATAGAGGATGGGCGGTTGGGCTATAGCGGTGCACGGCGGCGCTGGTGTGGATCCAAACCTCCCTAATCAACGTCAGGAACAGGCGAAGCAACTACTCACTCGTTGCCTAAACCTCGGCATCTCCGCTCTTCGTTCCTCTCACTCTGCCATTGATGTCGTTGAACTCGTCGTACGATTTCCCCTTTTTTTTCTCTCTCTCTCTCTCTCTCTCTCTCTCTCTCTCTCTCTCTCTCTCTCTCTCTCTCTACCATTGTATATTTCTCCGATCGGAGTCTCGTTCAGTTTTTGTTTCCGTTTTGAATCTCCATAAATTGCAGATTTCGATTTTGAATTTTGATAATTTAATCCCCATGCAGAAGCTTCGATTTAATTCACTATAAACAATTTTTCTATGATCGTTTAA